ATTTCTTTCTATTTTTAGAAGAGACGGGGTCTCGCTCTTGCTCAGGCTGGTCTCGAACTCCTGAGCTCAAACAATCCGCCTGCCTCAGCCTCCCAGAGTGCTAGGATTACAGGCGTGAGCCACCACGCCCGGCCCCCAAGATACATTTTTTAAGTGAAAAAGGAAAAGTGCAAAAGATGTGGCCAGACTATAGCTCTCGGGTAAGATGGGGAGCGGTAAGAACCTAGAGCCACGTTTGCGTGGATCTCCTTACAGAAAGTCTTAAAATGCTATACAGGAAAGTGGGCATGAAGGAGTCAACTCTAACCAAAAGCAGACAGAGATTTTTCACTGTACTCTTTCCCACTCTATTTTATTCTTGAGAGTTGTAAATATATTACCTATTAAAGAAATTAAGTGGATAAATGTATGAAAAAAATCAAGCTATACACAGTGCACTGGGCATTGGTATAGAACATCCCTAGGTGTATTGCCTCGGGGGGAAAAGCGTGGCCTGGCGCCTGCACGGAGTGCTCCCACCTGTAGCTTTCTAAGTGACGATAAGGGTCAGGTGGAGAAACAGGCACAGACTCACCCTGGAATGATACGCAGGCCATGGCGATTGCCGGGGGGCGAGGGCAGACGGGGATCGGTCAGGGATGAGAGAGACGACATTTTCACGATCACCTTTTGTGCCATTTGAATGTTTTGCACTGGGTCTATATAATTTTTTCAAAGAACAAAATAATTCCACCAATAGAGAAACAGCTAAATGAGCTGGGGCTGCAAGGACGCTGTGGGGTCCTCTGCGACAGTTAAAAAGGAGCGAGACCAGTCTCAGAGATCTCAGATGCTTCCGAGTGGGAGAGGCAACTTGCTGGACAGAGGACACGGAATAAAACCATGAATATTTTGTCCTGTTACAGACGAGGAACTGAGGCTCAGGGAAATTAGAGAACTTCCCCAAGACCATGCAGCCAGGAAGGAGCAGAGCCAGGATTTGAACCCAAGGCTCTCTGCTTCCAGGCCCGTGCATCCACCCACACTCTCAGTACCACCCATGGATCACTGTGATCTAATGCAAACGAGGCTTTTGATCTCTGTTTATTCACCTGCAAAGTGGGACTTGTGCGCCCACCCCCATCCCAGCAGGAAAGGCAAGGTGCCAAATACATGCCACGGGGCATTCGTGCTGCTTCCATGACCTGGGCTCCAAGATGTCCTTGGACCACGGGCCTTCATACAAGCTATGGTCTGCCCTGAATCTCCTTCTTGCAGCTCTCTCCCATGTAGCTAGACCCATCAGAGTCCTGCTCTGCCAGGAAGCCCTCCCCAGTGGTCCTGGCCCCTGATAAGTCTCCCTTCTTAAAGGGAGACTCCTTCCCCTCCTCTCCTCCTCCCCTTCCGAAGCACTCTAGGAAAGCCCTCTCCCCTCCTCCAAAAAAATCAGGAGACATAGCTAGCTACAACCAGGCTTTGGGTTTCCAGATCTGAATGCGAATGCAGGCTCTCCACTCTACCCTGTGTGACCTCGGACAAGTTCTTCCCCTTCTCTGAGCCCTTTCCTCCTCAGTAAACCCACGTAAGATCATCCTTGTCCCCAGGGCTTAGAGAAGATTAAAAAAAATAAGAAAGAGATGGGCACTTAACAGCACTCACTTGAAACTTATTCTAAAAAGGCATTGGGACCACCATAAGCAGATAACCACAGGCAGATAACCACACCTTCCACATTCTTCCACCCTTAGCCCTGTGGTCCCCACCCCCCCAGGCCCAGTACCAGTCCTTGGCCTGTTAGGAAACGGGTGCTTGCACCTGAGCTCTGCACCCCACCCCCCAACCCACAACACTCCATCCCCCCACCCCTGCATCTGTGGAAAAACTGTCTTCCATGAAACCATTCCCTGGTGCCAAAAAGGTTGGGGACCACTGCTTAGCCACACAAAGATCTGCAGCATCAAGGCCTTTTTTTGACCAAAAGGTTTGTCTCTCGATCAAACTTGCCTGCCTCCTTTTTTAAGAGGCGATCTGCATAAATTCATATTTCCCTTTTTGCCTAGGCTGCCAGGAAGTTCAACAAAGAATCAACAGCCTTCAGCTTGCTACAAGTCAATTCCCCCCTGTACAGCACTAGTTTTTAAAGATATATTATTTTAACTCTTTTGTCTTATGGCTTTCTATCATATTCCCTCTAGCATTCTTTCTGGAACTAGATGGCATGAGGGTTGTGATAAATCAGTGAACACCAACAGACGTGTGTGAAGAATACTGAGATTGGCTCTTCAGGACACATTATGATACTGGATAAAGAGCACATCTTCTTCTCAAGGAGCTGGGGGCCTTTCTACTCGCCTCCCCTTCCTCTCACACCAAGAGCAGTCACCATATCTAGGAAATAGGGGTTTGATGGGGAATTAGTGTCCATCTTCTCACTTAATGCCTCCTCCATGCAGCCTTCCCTGATCCCTACAGGAGAAGCACGTACTCGGGGTACCTCTCTCACTGACCAAGAGCTCCTGGCAAGCTGGCACTGGGCCTGGGGTCTCCATCACCCACTCCACAATGCCAGAGCCTGGGCAGGAGGGAGTAAAGCCGAGAGTGAAATTAAGACCATAGGCCAGAAAAGTCAGAAAACTCACTTCCATGGAGGAGGGCAAAGAGCTGACCTCTGAGCCTCAGTTTCCTCACCTGTAAAGCGGGGCAGAAAAGATGATATAAAGCCCTTGGCGAAGGGCCTAGTGCTTGCCTGACAGATGGGAGCCACCAAGACTTTCGGGCAGACAGTGGCGCCTGCTGGGAGAACCCCCATCTCAGACCCAGTGGGACGGTCCATTGCCAGAGAAACAGCTCAGGAAGCAGCTTCTCCAACAGATTGCTGAAGGCATGAGAAGGTACAGGTGGTCTTCAGAACTCTGACGGGAGACCCTCATCCCCCCCAAAAGCACTGCAGGTAAGGGGCAAAGGGCGCCCACTCCCCTCACACCCACTCCCCCAGGGCCTGGGGCCCCATGTGCTAAAAGTGCCACCAGAGGACTCCTGGCGAGTCCTAGCTTCTGCCCAGGCCTCAGTGTCTGCATCTGTGCGATGGGACCCAGATGCTCAGGGCTGAACTGGGCTGCTGGGCCCACAGGGGACCCCCAATCAGGAACAGGAGCCTCCTCTAGAGGTCCTTGCAGGCCACGGCAGAGCCCTCCTCTTATTCCAACTCCTTTCGTCCCCCTTATTGCAATTCTCAATTGCTCTGGTCCTGTCCACCAGGGGTGGCCCTCAGGATTCACCCTGCTATGCCAGTCGTCCTCTGCCCAGCGAGATCCCTTGGCTGTTCCAAAAGCTCCTAAGGCCACCAACAGAACGAAGTCCCTGTAGCTGGCAGAGGTATACCAGGCTCTCCGCTGCTGGCCGCACCAGAAACAAGTGCTTCACCTCTGGCTTCACCAACCTGTCAGCTACTCCCCCAACCCTCCTTCTAGGCTGGCACTGCGCCCCGCCTTGGAACACCCTTCCCTGCCCCTGCCTCAGATTTCAGTGAAGTCCCAGCTCAAAAGCCACCTCCTCCCTGAAGCTTTCCTGGCTATGGCCCTGGTCTTCTTCGCCTCTGCCTGTTCACAAGCCGCCTGGCTCTGCCCTGGGCAGCTGGGAAGCTGCTCGTGGCTGTGCCCCTCACCACCAGCCCAGAGCCCAGCCCTCCTGCAGCCCTGGGGTCCGTGGCTCTGCCCATCTGCAGATCTAAATTAGTCCAGGAACCCACCCTCTACACGCCCCCTCCCCAAGATAGAATCTCCCTACCAAAAACAAACAAACTCTGGGAGGAATTAAAAATGTCGATTTCTGGCTTCATTTCCCGAGATTCCAATTCCAATTCCACATTTTCCCTGGGAGTGCGGTTCAGGAACCTCCATTCTGCAGGAGATTCAGAGGCGGGCTGGGGGAGGGGCCCACAAAGGGAGATCTGAGAAATCCGGAAATAGAGACAGCAGGGACCCAGGTGGAGGTGGGAGAAGGGAGACCTGATCTCAGCCCAGGGTTCGGCACCCGTGTAACCACCCTGCTTTCCTCCCTGGGCCTGGCAGCCTCGCTAGCATCCCGCAGGAGGGGCACGGCCGGATATGCCACCCGCTGGATTGCAAAGGAAAATGGACTCTGACCCTAATGCTATGGAAACGATCCTCCGCGGGCGGGGAAGCCTCCCACAGGACCCCAGGAGCAGATACCCAGCGTCCAGCCCCTCACCGGAGGGCACAGCGGGAAGAAAGCGGGTACCCCGGCCCGTGACCGGCGCGGGGCAGGGGGCGTTCCCATCGGTCCGCGTCAACTGGGGTCTGCACAGGGGGCCGGGCGGGGTGGGAGCTTTGCCTCTGGTTCCGCACGCATCCCTTCCCCCAGCGCAGGGCGCGCTATCTCGGCCCCGCGGCGCAGGCCAAACCGGCTGGAACCCGGCGGGTCGCCCAGAGGAAGCCACAAGCGCCTGGGTCCCGCGCGGGAGCCCACGGGGCCGTGCCAAAGTGTGCGTGTCGGGCGGACGGATGTGGCCTCTCCATTAGACGACGAGCGCGCTGGGTGCAGCCGCGCGGCGCCGCCGGAGCTCGGCAGGACGAGGGCCGAGTGGACTTCGCCCCCGAGTGGGTTCCCGAGGGCGCGGGGGGCATAGTCCTGGCAGAGGGGTTAAGAGGGAGGGGGTGAAGGGGAGAAGGAGGGGGATGACCGAGTCGTGCGCAGTGACTGTGGCTCAGGTGGGCGCCTCTTTGTGTGGCCGCTGGCGACCACCTTGGAGGGCTGGCGATGGGGCGCTGGGGAGTAGGCGCCCTGCAGACGGGCGCTTGTGTGTGGGCTCGCAAGGACGGCCACGGCGGCGTCTCGCGGTGGAGGGTTGCAGGGAGCGCCCCCGGGGTAGGCCCGGCGCGTCTGAGCCAGGGGAGAGAGGGTACGGGCCGCGAAGAAGGGACGCAGCCCCGGGGCCCCCCACCCGCTCCTGGCCGGGCCGGGAGCCCCGACCGCAGCCCCGCGGGCGCGCGCGCGCTCACCAGCTGCAGCAGCATGAGCGCTCCGAGCCTGGAGCGCACGAAGCCCAGGTCCAGGCGCATCGCCGAGACGGAGGCGCCGGCGCCCTGCGTGGGGCTGCTGGTCCGCGTGGTCACTTTAGACGGGAACTCGGCCATGTCGCCTCCGCTCGCCTCCCGACGTTGCTCCGGCCGCCGTCGCCGCCCCTCCAGCGGTGGGTGCCGGCTCCCGCGCCGCCGTCCCCGGCGCTCCCGCTCCCGCTGCGGCTCCGGGCGCAGTGCTGGGCGTCGGGGCGGGGAGCCAGGGGCAGCCAGGTGCGGCCGGAGCCCGGCCCCGCCCCCGCGCGAACCCGCCTCCTTAACCCTCTGCTCGCCCCCGCGGGTCCGGCCGCGGCCAGCTCGTTCGCAGCTGTGGCCGCTTCTCCGACCGGAAAACTGAAACCCGGGTCAACGGGGTGGCTCCGCCAGAACCAGCCTAGACAGGCGCGCGTGTCACGCCGGGGAAAGCCGCCCGCTGGGAATTTCCCCCTCGCCCCCGGCGGCTGCGACAGCCCCTCCGCGCCCTCCCCGCAGGGCGCTTCCGCGCCTCGCAATAACTGGCGAATACATGCACTATTGCATGGAAAGTGGCTGGCACGCAGCGAGGGAGGACGGTCACCCAGAAGGTGGGAGGTGATGTCAAGGTTACAATTTCATTGCTCCAGGGCAAAGGCAATATATGTAACCTAAACATTTGTACCCCCGAAATATTCTGAAATAAAAAAAATAAAAATAAAACAATTTCATTGCTCCCCATGCACCTTAAAACTCTCGCATGTGCGCGCACACACGCCTCGGGCCATAGAAGTTTGCACGGATACTCCATGCATTTATTCATCAACCAATGTTTGCTGAGCACCCGCTACATGTCAGGCCCTGGGGCTACAGCAGGATACAAACTAGACAAGGCTTTCTAGAATTCCACTCTCTCTCTTTTTTTTTTTTTTTTTTTGAGACAGAGTCTAACTCTGTTGCCCGGGCTAGAGTGCCATGGCGTCAGCCTAGCTCACAGCAACCTCACACTCCTGGGCTCAAGCAATCCTGCCTCAGCTTCCTGAGTAGCTGGGACTACAGGCATGCGCCACCATGCCCGGCTAATTTTTTCTATATATTTTTAGTTGTCCAATTAATTTCTTTCTAATTTTAGTAGAGACGGGGGTCTCGCTCTTGCTCAGGCTGGTTTCGAACTCCTGAGCTCAAACAATCCGCCCGCCTCGGCCTCCCAGAGAGCTAGGATTACAGGCGTGAGCCACCGCGCCCGGCCTCTCTCTTTTTTTTAATTGATGTGTTATCATTGTACATATTTATGGGGTACAGTGTGATGTTTAGACACATCTGTACATTGTATAATAATCCAATCGAGGTATTTAAGCATATCCATCACCTCATACATTTATCATTTCTTTGTGTTGAAAACATTTAAAATTCTCTCTTCTAGCTCCTGTATTTTGAAATATACACTATTGTTGACCATAGTCACCCTACTGGACAATAGAACACCAGAATTTTCCCTCCTATCAAACTGTAACTTTGCTCCTATTGCCAACCTCTCCCTTGACCGTCCCCCAGCCTCCTTTAGCCACTATTCTACTCCCTACTTCTGTGAAATCAATTTCTTCAGATTCCACATATGAGTGACATCCTGTGGTATCTGTCCTTCTGTGCCTGGCTTATTTCACTTAACATAGTTCCCTCTGGGTTCATTCTTGTTGCCAAACGACAGGATTTCATTCATTGGATCCCACTTCCTAGCGGGGAGGACCAGTCATAAACCAGGGAGGAATAATAATTTCAAATAGCAACAAATACTGAGACAAAAATAAAACAAGGGGATGTGACAGAGAGTGACCAGAAGGTGATTTTTAGATAGGGTGGTCAAGGAAGACCTGTTGGAGGAGGTGACACTTATGCAGAGATCTGAATTATGAGTAGGGGCTAGCCTTGGGAAGATCTGGGAGAAGAAATCAGTAAGTGCAAAGGCCCTGAGGCTGGACCAAGCTAGACAGTTTGAGGAACAGAAAGAAGGTCCCTGGTGGGGCTGGAGCCGAGTGAGTGAGTGTGTGTGAGATTGGATACACGTGGCAGGGGCCAGATCACACAGGGCTATTTAGATGATTATATTAGTGTCCTGTGGTTGCTGTAACAAGTTACCACGAACTTGGTGACTTAAAACAACAGGAATTTATTCTCCTACAGTTTTGGAGGCCAGAAGTCTGAAATCAGTTTCATTGAGCCAAAATCTCCCCAAAATGTGGGAAGAGCCAAAACTGCGATGTCTTTGGGGCCATGTTCCCTCTGCAGGCTCTAGGGGAGAATCTGGGCCCTGCTCTTCCAGCATCTGGTGGTGGCTGCTGGTATTCCTTGATTTGTGACCTCCTCACTCCTATCTCTGCCTTGGAGGTCTGATTACCTCCTATTCTGTGTGCATAAAAGCTCCCCCCCCCATAAGGACACTTGTGATTGGGTTAGGGCCCAACTCAGATACTCCAGTATAATGTCTCCAAATTAGGAATCTTAATTCAATCACTTAATTTAACCTGCAAAGACTTTTTTACTTTATAAGGTAAAATTTCATATGCAGGTTCTAAGAATTAGGATATGGTTTTTCTTTCTTTTTTTTTTTTCCCCCAGAAATGTCCACTTCTGGATGGAATTAAGATCTGATATATCTTTGGGTGGCCATTATATAGCCGACCACAATGATGGAGAGGGGTTAATATTTTAAGGCCTGTGACACTTTGAAAATATCACTGGTTGATGCTGACTTAATCCTTTACCTACTGGACGTTCAGCCCCTTTCCCTCCAGGCACCTGGGACCTTTGTCCCTCCAACACACACACACACACACACACACACACACACACACACACACACACACGTAGGTTCTCTGGAAATGAGAAGTGCTTCTCCTTCTCTATAGTTACAAAATTGTTAGCCAGAGACCAGCCTCTCTGCAGACCAGTCCAAGTGGCAGAACAAAGCTCGGGTGAGCCCTTCATTTTTTTTTTTTTCAGGACATAGAAAACAGTAAGATGATTGTTTCTGAGGCAGATTCTAAAACAGTAGAGTGTTTTTGTTTTGGTTTGGATTTTGTTTTTTTGGTTAATCCTACTTTCATTCCTTTCAAATGGCAGCGAGCGAGTCTGAATCACTGCACTGTTTTTGACTTTGACATTTTCTTCCAAACCAACTTCACTCGCCCCCAGTCAGAAAAAGTGGGAAGGAACCTGTCCCCAGGCTGGAACCAGCTGCCCACCCAGAGTCTCCACCGGCACCACGGGAGCCCTGAATTCTTGGGATGGGGGCGACAGAGACCCAAACGGGGGCTGAGACAGCCTGTCTACTGCCAGAACCGGTCCCCATCCCGTAAGGTCTGAACCATCGCCACATAAGATACCTGCAGCGCATGTCTCAGTTCTCCTCATTTCTACAAAGCTTCCCTCCTCTGACCAAGTCCCTACTGTGTGCTGGGCCTGCCCTGCCCTGCCTTCTGGTGGGATGAGGACACACTGGAGAGAAAGTGGCAATTCAGGCACCATGCACATTTTTAGTGTGTACCTTGGGTGTGTCACTCACTGGAGACAGCTGTGAGCTGGGGTGAGCAGCCCCACCCTCAGGAGTCTGAATGTACAAACCCACAGAGAAGTAGAGCATTGCCAATTGTGTTAGTGTCGCCACAGAAAAATAGCACGATGCCACAGGAGAGAATAATTCTGAGGACTGGGGGTTGTCACTTAGATAGGTCGGAAAGTCTAGACATTTAAGCAGAGACCTGAAGGATCAATAATCATCATACCAGAGAAGAACATTCCAGACAAGGAAAACCGCCATCTGTGCAAAGGCCCTGGGCAGGAAGGACTTTGAGGTCTTTCAGGAAGAACAGAAGGCTAAGAGCTGGAGGGGTTAGGGAGAGATGAGTTTCAAGAAGCAGCCAGGAGCCAGATCACCTAGTCCGAAAGCCTTGGAAATGGAGTGGTTTTCATTATAAAAAACAGGCCATTGAAAGATAGGCCATTTGATTTACAATTTTAAGAAATGTACAGGCCAGGTATGGCTCATACCTATAATTCCAGCATTTTGGGAGGTCAAGACAGGAGGATCGCTGGAGCCCAGGAGTTCAATACTGTTATGGTATAGAGTGTGAGAAGTGACCACTGAGAGACCGAATTGAGCCAAACTGTGCGTCTTTATTAGCTGGCCAGTGACTACCGCCTGCATGACTGAGAGGCAGAGCACAGGGAGCAGTCCCAAGCCGAAAAGGTGAGAAGGCTTTATACTAATTTGGGGGGGGCTACGTGACATTAAACACGACATAGTGCAACAAAAATAATTATATCGTATATTCCATAGCCACGGGATCTGGGACCTCCCTCAGACCACCTGCCTGGCCTTGGGACTGATTACAATCTTTGAGCAAGCAAGGTTGCAGAAGCAGATGGCATCAATTAAGGCAGGGAGCGTTCTTTCCTGGGTGAGGCAAGTACAGTAAATTCTAACTTCAGGCAGTTGGGGGGTTTACACATCAGTTACAAGGTCATTGTTTATAGAGTACAGATTTTTTTATTAAGGGCGAGGTTTACAAAGTACGAGCTTTTTACTCTATAGACAGGAATGAGTCTTGAAACAGAGTTTTCATAATAACTTTTCATGTTTTTGAGGCCTAGTACTACATTCCCCACTGGTTTTTTGTGTAATTAAATTTTTGATTCTGCATTTATAAATTATTTTTATAGACATGGTGATAATGAGTGCGAAGCACCATTAATTTGACATTTTGGATATGTTTTTGTATATATGTTAAAAGGCAGTTAATTATACATGGGCCAATTAATGTTAATAAGAATAAGATCAGAGGCCCCGCTATTGTGGATAAGACAGTAGTTAACCAAGGGGATTAAGTAAATAGGTTTTTATATCAATTATTGTCTTTTGATAGCTGTTTTTTTATTTTATTTTATTATGTACTTGTGATAAGCTATTGTGAATCACATCTGAATGGTTAGCATAGAAACAGTAAGTTTTTTTTAGGGCAACATATAAGTCTTTTTGTTTTAAAAACAGCAAGTCTATTTTTTTTTTACTTTGTAGAATTATTTTAGCTAGGGAATTTATTGATTGTTTTAAATAGTTAATAGACTTTTTTAAGTCACTTAAATTAATATCAACCTGGTGGTTTAGTATCTTAAAATTTTGATTTGTAGTTATCAGAGCAACTGTACCTACAGCAGCCGAACCTGTGATTTT